GTGTATTTCATTTAACAAAAAAAATAGCATATGCTTCTAAAATTTCTTTTTGTATCTCATGCACGTCCTAAGATCCTTATGCTTGACAGTTGCTTGGGGTTTTTAATCATGGATGAAATTGTGTTGAAAAACCTTCATATCTTCAGGATTTTTATTTTTTTTTAAATCATCCTAGAATAAGTTTGTACCTCTGCTTTATTTGAATTTTTCACCATTCAGTGGTATGCTGATGTTCCATTTGTGTCTTCTAAGGTTGACTGCCCTGTTTCTTTTCTATGTGTCTTTTGCTGTGTTCAGTTGATGAATTTTCAAATTGAGATGGCATCTCTTATTTGAGAAAAGGAGCCTGAAGGGCAACCTAATTGCTCTCTACAGCTTCCTGAGGAGGGGAAGTAGAGAGGAAGGCTTTGAGCTCTTCTCGCTAGTATCCAGTGCCAGGAGGCATGGAAATGGTTCAAAGCTGAGTCAGAGGAGGTTTAAACTGGATATTAGGAAGCATTTCTTTACCAAGAAGTTGGCCAAACACTGGAGCAGGCTTCCTGAAGAGGTGTTTGTTGCCCCAAACCTCTAAGTGTTTAAGAAGCATTTTGATAATGGTGTTATCCACCTGCTTTAACTTTCAGACAGCCTTGGAGTGGTCAGGCAGTTGGACTAGGTGATTGTTCTTGATCCCTTCCAACTGAAATATTCTATTTTCTGTTAACTTCAATCCATTCTTCAGAACCTTATTTGAAAAATCTGATACTAAATAATTCCAGTTTTCACAAGTTAACAATTTAATTCTAGATGTTCAGCAGCAAATGTTTTATTCCATTTCAAGAACTGGTATGAATATACTATCTGAGATATGTAGACAACTTCTCTGTTTTGGGGGAAGATCTCTGTTCTAGATCAAAAGGGCATAAAAGATCAGCCTAAGTTCTGCATAGATGTGGCAACTTAGGAAGAAACACTTTTATTGCACAGCATAATGAATGGCAGAAACTGAAGAGTAGCCACTGTATTCAGAAAAATGGAGATTCTTAGTAGAGCAGCTGCATTTGAGAATGGTGATGTAGGTTAAGGTAGGTTCTTGGAGCAACTTGCAAGTGTCAACCTGTCATTGTAAACATCCTCAGGATAAGCAATATAGTCTAATTTGCTTATTACTGCCAGTTCAGTACGACTTTGGGAGGAGTTATGTTTGTTGACCACAGTCATCTGACTTGGAACCTTGATCTGAACATTAGTTTGCTGATTCATTTCTTACAACCATGCTGTGAAAGATGCAGAATAGTTAAAAAATGATACATCAGCTTCATAAAGTACACACAATATTTCAGGAGACTTAATTACAGTGAAAGCAATCTTTACTGAATATTAAATATTCCCTTGAAGACTGCAAAGACTGAATGTTTGACATAAGAAAAAAGATTGTATTTGAGTTCTATGATATGGAAAGAACACTGATTTATGGTACGGTATGCTGGCTCCTGTAAGGATTTCTATGTGTTCATATTGTACTCCAGCTGAAATTTGTCTTATTACAGAAGTCTTCTATATACTTTATTAAAAATAAGTTATTTCATGGCAGTAGGATTTAACTTTTTGGTATGTGGTTTTGCATCCACAGTTGTACCCAACTTATAAAGTTGTAAATTCAGTATGAATTTTTAATTGCTTACTGACAGTTTTTAATATGGCATAATTATTTGAAGTAGTACCTACAGAGACTTCAAGATCTCTTTTCTGGCTGATAATATCAGATTTGTGAGCCTGTCATTCTGTACATACACACGAGTAAAATTATAATAATATGGTATTTGCATTTATTATAATAATATGCATTTGCATATTATTATAATAATATGGTATTTGCATTTACTAATTTTGAATTTTAATCATGGTTACCTGGACAGTTGTTATCAGAAAAATCTTCACAACTCTCAGTAGTTGGTGGATTTTAATTGCATTTAATGATTTCTGACTCTTCAGTAAACTTCTTGCTTCCATTAGTATCAGCACATGTTACCAGCTCATTATCACTGTGGTTCTTCGCTGGTCACCTCCCCTCTCCTCTGGAGATTCTCTTATCCAACCCTCCTGCAAAAGCAGGGCCAACTAGAGCCAGTTGTCCAGGTCTGTGACCAGATGGCTTTTGAATGTACCCGGTCTTGAAGACTCCGCAAATACAATTTTTCATCCTAGATTTCCCCCATGGAAAGAAATGGAAAAAAGTAGATACTTCCAGAAGGTGTTTAATTTCATTTTAGAGTAAGCATCTAAGTGAGTTCAATTGAATGTCTTCTACAGGTGCTTGTTTTACCGCTGTGTGTTTTTAACATAATATCAGAGAGGCTTATCCAGGTGAAGAGATATCTGAAAACGCAACGACCCGGATTGCTGATGAAGTGTGCACCAGTTGCTGTGTTTTCAGAAATAGAAACTCTGTCTTTTCTTGAAAAGAGAGTAAAAACTCTGTAAATTAATTTCATGATTCTAAAGAATGACCATAGAAATTCTGTGCTTCTAATACTGAAATTTTTTTTGCCTTCCCTTGGTGCACATTATGTGTTTACCAAATATGCAAATATGTGATATGCAGTCACAAGTTTTAAATTAAAGTACTATTATTGTTTACCTTGGCTGAACGCCAGGTATTCACTGGGCCTGTGCCCAACCTCCCTCCGGAGGGAAAGGGGAGGAGGAAAGAGGGAGAAGAAGGGAAAAACTATGAAAATGAAACTGCCAAGAAAGAAGGCTTTATATGTACACAGAGAGAAAAAAAATTATAGAACTATACACACGGAGAAGAACTAAAACCAAAGATTACTTCCCCACAACGAATGCTCTTCTCCCCCAAAGAAGCAGCCCGTCCACCACCATGCAGCTATCCGGAAGAGAAGGAAACCCTTACTTCCTTCCCATCTTTTATATCTGAGCTGACATAACATAATATGGAATATCTTGTTGGTAAAATATACATCAGGTGATCTATCCTATTTCCGTTTCCCTCTCAGTGAGGGTAACAAACCCACTACAAGTACTAATTATAGTTAGGTTAATAGTTTTATTTGAATGCAATTAAATATCTCAGGAGAACTAAGGTAGTCAATTTATATATTTAGCATATAGAAGTTGTTATGTTGGAAAATTATAAATTGCCTATTAGCAATTAATTGATAGAGAAAAAGTAATTGGAAAGTGAATGAAAAGTATGAATTAGGGTGGGACCCAAAGCTAGTACTTACTTAGTTGTATTAATTTTATCTGAAGATTGGGTTTGAAGAAACTCTTTGAATATTTGGATAGGTTTAGCCATCAAAAAATTTTGCATAGTATTTCAACCTGTTTCTTTTTTGGAGTTTAATTTGAAGGCAATATCCACTGCTTTTAAGTAGGTTATAGAACTGCCTTCTGTTAGAGGTGACTGTTGAAATTGTGCACTTGTAAGAGATTAATTCTTTGAATATCTTTAATATCTTTAATTAAAACATGTTATTGCAATTTTAATTGTATTACTTCATGAAACAAACAGAAGAGAATGTCTTAGAATAATTTTAGAATTAATTTCTTTTTCGATTTTTATAATATGTTTGCAGTTACTGAAATGACTTACTGACAGGCTGAGAGAGTTGAGTTTGTTCAGCCTGGAGAAGAGAAGGCTTCAGGGAGACCTTATATCACCTTCTAAAACCTAAAGGGGGCCTGCAAGAGAGCTGGAGAGGGACTTTTTACAAGGGCATGTAGTGATAGGATGAGGGGGGAAGGTCTTAAACTGAAAGAAGGATGGGTTTAGATTAGATATTAGGGAGAAATTCATTACTCTAAGGGCTGATGAACTGGAACAGGTTGCCCAGAGAGGTTGTGGAGGTATTCAAGAGATGGCTGGATGGGACCATGAATAACTTGGTCTAATAGAAGATTCCCTGCCCAAGGCAGCAGCTTTGGAACTACATGATCTTCTAAGGTCCCTTCCAACCCAAACCATTCTGTGATTCTATGAAATGTAACATTTGTGCTTTCAAAATTCTTCAAGTTACTAGGATAAAGTAGGATGCATGAGAGTCAGGCTTTGTTTCCTTAAAAATTCAAAGAGGTTTTTACCATTAAAAGGAGAATTTTTTTTTAAACTAATCTTCATACTCAGTTCAGTAGGATCTTTTGAGTTCACCTTTTTTAAGTTACATAGGTGACTGATCAAAATTATTGAATTCCATTCCTGAAGATATATCTGACTGAATCTTCTTCTGCTGGTTTTTTCCCTCACTCCTAATACAGGCCTGGTAGTTGTGCTATTTAATTAGAACTCAGGACTCTGGATAGTGTTTTGCAAGTATCTGGATGGACAGGAGTCAGGCTCAGTGCTTGTGCCCTTCCTAGTGCAGTCTCTCCTTTTCACCAGGAGTAGGTTTCTTTGACCACACAATGAGCTGATCTGTGATATAATTATGCAAATTTACTGTGTCCGTGTTGGTCCAGAGCAGATCACTGATTCTTTTCCTGGGCATGACTACACGACTGTTTGGGTGGGACGATGGAAAGGGCAGTAAGGTCTTGCAAATACGTAACTAAGGACAAATGTTGGCTTATATCCAGAGAAAAAGCTAAGTTATTTTCTAGTGTCCTCTGAGAACGGTAGAAAAGCCTCAGTTGCTTTTGAGCTTTTCAGGTTCTGCACTACATCTGTCTGAGCCAGGCTACCATTTCGATTACTTCGTAGAAAGGAATATTTCAAATACATTTTGATTTGATTTGATTTGATTAAAATGTTGCATTCAGTACTGTGACCAAATTGAAGGTAGTATTTTATGATATATTTTATGTGTTTATTTTTTACAGGCTTTGTTTTGTATAGCATGATGGTTAATTTGCTCTTAGAGAGCATAGCTGTGAGTTTCTCTTATCAAAATTGCCTCTCTCATCATGTAAAATATATTCAGTATTGGTCATAATGAAGGTATGAAAGACACTAAACTATGTATTTCACAATGTAATGCTGTTCTTGTTTTCTTTTTTAGCTGGTTGGTGGCGAATTTGATCTAGAGATGAACTTTATAATCCAGGATGCAGAGAGCATTACATGCATGTCAGAGCTTTTGGAGCACTGTGATGTAACGTGCCAAGCAGAAATCTGGAGTATGTTCACAGCAATTCTACGGAAAAGTGTGCGTAATTTACAGACTAGCACAGAAGTTGGCTTAATTGAACAGGTACTGCTGAAGATGAGTACTGTGGACGACATGATTGCAGGTAAAAAATTGCCAACTGATAAAATGTTATTCCATTCTGGAACTGCCAGTGTTTTGTGATTATGAAAGGGTGTGAGATGTCTTGGTTTTTACTTAAAGTGATATTTTGGTTAGTACTGCTATTGAGTCAGAATAACTATTTTATCAATTTCAGGAAAATGACAAAAATATATTCGTAGTCTAAAATATATGTAGATACATTGTTAAAAATAACTGCCTGTTAATTCGTCTGACAAGATAATGTTATCTTGGTGATAAAAAAGCAATTTTCAATATAATTAAAAACTGTACAGTTAGACTTTCTAACTACAAGGTAATATTTTGGCTTTTTAGAGCATTGATTATTTTTAATTATTTGGATATTAGAATTATTATGGTCCATTTTAAACATAACCTCATTTTACAGCATATCAGAAATTATTCATAGGTTTTAATGCTGGACAACATATAAATTATGTTAAACAATCATTTCCTAATGTATAACTGTGATCCCTCTCATATCTCTTAATTTTTTATACATGTGGCTTTTAACATTCTATAACTTTTTGTGGTGTTAAAAAGATAGCATACTTTGTTTGCTTACTGAAAATAAGTGATGAGATTATTGCACAGCTAAGGTTTTCAGAGTATGTTTGAAGGAGTTTATGCTATTCCATACTACATCCTCTCAGTAACAGGGTACAGATTGTAATCCTGGATTACTTGGTTAGAGGAGCAGGGTTGGTTGCCACATTTAAATATGGCAGCTGAAGAGATACATATGATTATATTTATTTTCCTGGGGGGGGAACTTAGGCGGTTTCTTTCAACTCAATTTGAAAGTAGTTCGTAATTTTTATATAGTTTGTGACTGATAGGATAGTTAAATTGTGAGGCACTTTAGAAAGATTGAAGAGGTTTACCTTTATTAATTCTAAGGTTTTAGTTGATGATTTGATTCCTGACATATAAACAGGTTTTGTGGAACAGTAAACTAGCAAGGATTTCTCATGAGAAGGAACAGGAGGATAACAGCAGCATGAAAACTGGATTACTGAGGAATGATTTTGTCCTTGACTTTCTTTTTTTTTTGGTATAAGGGTATCTGTAATATTAAGTATTAGGAAAAGCTACATTCTGTTTTTCAAAGCAAGTTATAATCAACATCTTGTTGATTAGCAATGTATATGTAAATGCTAAAATTAGAAGTGTTATGCTAAATACTGTACTGTGAGATTCAGACTGAAGTATAACAGACCAATAGATTCACAAATTATGTGTTTCACCAACTATGTTTTGTTTTGCAATACGAGTATAAGGCTGAAGATACTCTTTCATTCTGTGTTAACTATAACATATTATATGATGAGAACACACGTTTCTATTTTGAAGTTTTTCATGTTTAACTCATGGAAATAATATTCTTATATGAGTAATCACACTGATAAAATTTGTCCAATTTGAGGTCCCCTAAGTAGTACTTTGTACGTGGCATATAGGACTGCAATGATGTCTCCATTAGAGAGAATTTAAAAAAAATTGCTTAGCTAATTACAAGTCAGAAATCAAGAGCACGGGATCTGGCTTTCAGGAGCATTTGGTAGTTGAAATATCATTCTGAAGGTACAGATATTAATATAAGCCAGGGGTAGTAGATTAAAAAAAACTCTAATGGATCCTCTACCTCATAAAGCTTTTTTCTGAGAGTAGTCACACAGTAGTTCAGAAAGAGATCTGCAGAAAAAACATCAGTAAGCTTGCTCTTCAATATGCTTACATGGACAAAGAAAGCCCATATGTAATTTAAAATCAAAACTGAAAATTGGAATTCTGATGAAATTTTAGATCTGCAATGTGTTTCAAATTATTTGAATAGTTTTCTATATATCATGAGCAGGGATTGAACAGAATCACACTTTGTAGGGTCTCTCTCTGATAACTGTAAATAGATGAAAATGTGAGTTTTTTGAGAATTTTTTTTGATAAGACATGGAAGCAACAAAATTAATCATTTGCTTTTCTCTCTTGATTTCTGTAAGCTCCTCACCACTCTTTTATAAATGGTAACAAGTTGGTAATAAGTCAGAAATAACAAATACGGTCCTGTAATAACTATTTCAATGTCAGATTTTTGATGACAATATCAGCAACAACTAATGCAATATCTGTGCTCCCTAACCTGCTATGCAGATGTTGAGGTCATATTTGACACAAGATGACCGTAGAACTACTTTACTCCAGATATTTCTGTGAACTTTCCACTCCAAAGGAATGAAGTAAAACATTTTGTGCCAAAATGCTTTTTAACACTGCGGGAAGATGTTTTGAATCAGAGTTGTGTTAGTTTTTACTTCTAGGAAGTTAGTACCACTTTCTTCACAAAACAGTTGGTATTACTCTGTCAGCCCAATGTTTTGAAATTGGCTTTTATCATCTGTAAACGGTACATGTTTTCTGGGATTTTTTTATTTGGTTTTTCTGGGAGTTGCTTGTTTGTTTTTAGGTCATCTCACTTGTACCTTTGTGAAACACTGTGATTAGACCTAGATAGGGTTTAAATAGACAAGACAGGCACAATATCTGTTTTATGTTTTGACAGCATGTTTTCAGGGCCAGTCTAAGTCTGAAGCCACTCTTCTCTGGTTTTATGAAAGTAAGACAGCAGCAAATGAACATGTACCCAATCTTTTGCAGTGAAAAGAACTTGTCTGTCTGTTTAGATGAAGACTGTCAGATTCATGAGGTTCTCAGCACTTTAAATATCTCACTTCACATGATTTTACAGATTCTGTGGTCAAAAATAAAGCCTAATCATCTTGAAAGTCTCTATTGCAATCCAGATGGGCTCATTGCCATTTGTATTTCACGTTGCTTTCCAGAAGCAGCACCTAGCAGAAGTCATCTTTGTACTGTGATAATCTATTGTACAAATAAAGGGAATGGTCAGCCCTTTTTACAGTGGTTAAGGAAAAGAGAATACTAAAATATTTTCATAGATAATTGGTGCTGTGGGGTTTTTTTTGGTTTTGTTTTTGTTTTTGTTTTTTTTTAAAGCGTCACAGGATCTTCCCTGAGGGTTTCACTTTTTACAGTTCTCTGTTTCCAGGTGATGAGTAGTGAAGCAGATCATCTACTCTGAGGGACTCTTTAGGATAGTGTGTAGTACCTTCACAGAAGTCTGAATGGTGTATGAGAAAGTAGCCTGAACTGCTACAGAGTAGATATGTCTCCCTTAAGTGCCATTTTATTTCCCACAGTTCTGTTGTGATGCTGTAGGTAATTGTTATAAAATTGCTAGTTACTAAATTCTTCAACACTGAAACAGTTCCTAGTTTTCAAGCAACAATGTTGGCTTTTGACTGCTCTGTCATTATTGGACTGTTAACAAGCTCTTTCAACTCATTCCATAAGAAAAATGGCAAAATGATCACATTCTGTATTTCCAATCTGTAGAAATTAGTTTACTGCACCAACAAGAGGTAAATTCACAATTTCATGGTCGTCTGTTGTTATAAGCTTAAGGAGGAATGAGGGCAGTTACCTGAAGTTGGGTTTCCAATACTGTTTAGTATGTCTTCTGAAGTTAATGCCAGACTATTTGTTTTGACATATGCACATTGTTACTTGAAAGACAGGCAGACTTTTATTATTGTATTTTCATATTAAATGACTGCATTAAGCATTCCTTCAAGGTTGCTGGTTAATTTGTAGATCATATGAAAATTGCTTAGTATAAAACTATTCAGAAGGTGCCATTAACAGAAATTAGAAATGCATTAAAAATGAGAAAAAGTACCTGTTTTTTCCTTCTGGACTTAATATTATTTTACACAATCATGTTTTTGAAATGAGATCATAGATTCCAGTCATATATGTAATGTTATTTAATATAATAAAAAAGTAGACATTAAAAAAATCCAATTCTAGTACGTTTTCTGACCTTTGTCCATTTATAGATGAGTGGATTATTAGGATTTATAAACCAGATGTGGACTGACTCTTTTATGAGATTTCTAATAAGTATGAATAAAATTATGTAATGAATTGCAGCTATTTTTAAGTCTTGTTATATTGAAACAAGAAACAAACCTTCTTTAGAGGAGTTTATAGCAATATCTTTAAGTAGCCTTAAGTGCTTCGACTTCCACAGATGTTAGCTTTATCTCTACTTGTTACCTACAGGGCTTCAATCTTCCAGGTCATTGTTTTACCCACAGTTACATTACTAGGGAGCTTATATTTCCTTTTGTCCATCAATGTTTAATTCATTACTTATAAATATGTATTTCTAATGCCTGTAGGTTATCAACATCTTCAGTAGAAATAAGATTTTTTTCTGTACCATAAGGTACTACAGGACTATAACAATGAAACAAAGCAGCACATGCTCAGTGATTTTTAGAATCTGCCAATCATTTCTGTGTTTGACTGTATTAATTTACACTTTTGTCATCTATTACAAGATTTTTTTTTAGTGCTATTCTGACTTTCACAAGACAACTTTGCTTCTATACAGTATTTTTTCTCTGTAAAGGAAGTGTAATTTGAAGTAGCATGATCTGGAAAGCAAGCTAAGACTACAAAGTGAGAATTGAGAAATTCCCAGCCAAAGATTAGTATTCACTTGTGCTTATTTCCCTTTCTGAGTTTTCAGTGTGTTACTGTTCTCAGTTTCTGATCATGTACAAGATGTGCAAATCACTGCCAGCTTCACACTGGAGGCTGGAGACTGTACAGTGAAGGGGGCAGATGCGTGTAGGTACTAGAAGAGGATCTGAGTCATAGAATTCACCACCATGAAAAACAAGACATTTAGTTTTCTTAGCTGTATTTTGTTTTCCCTGATTCTGTCACAAATATAATGGGGCAGTAATTTAAAGGGAACATTAAATAAAGGGAAAGGGGAAGGGGAAAAAAAATTCTGTACTTGAACATTAGGATGTTCAGATCTTACAGTGAAAATGTCTGCTAAGTTGCAGTGCTTTTCTTTTGCATTTCCTGTTATGCAATTTCACTCACTGAACAGCTTGTCATGTCTCCTATAAATGAAATGATATTTTGTTCTTCACACATGCCTTTTGCTTGCTCAGGTCCAGAGGCTAGTCTCCTAGTGGAAAAAATTCAATAGCTATTGATAGTTTTGCTAAAAAACACATATGTATGGATTTGCAGAGAGAAAATTTCTTTTAAAACAAAATATGAATGTGAAGTGTCATTTAAAAAATGTATGCTTCTGAAGACTCCTCTTTGTCAGACTCTGTAAGAGTCATCCTTTCACTAATGAAAAAGGAGAACATGCAGCCATACAAATACAATAAAAATTTATATGTAGAAGCCCATGTTTTCTACAAGTTTGTGGGGGAGGATTTTGTGATTGTTGAACAGATTGGAAAAGTTTGTTAATACTGATTCTGTTGTATCATACTTCTTTTGTTTTGAAAACTCTGTACTTCACTGCTTGATCTTTGAATTAAATTTCTTATACCACCTCTATGAAGATGAGCAAATTACTTTTCCTCCTGCTAGAGGAAATAGTAATTCTTAGTAGTGCATTTTATTCCAGAAAAAAGTGTGAGGTCCAACATCCCACAAGCTAACAAATTCTTAAAATGAAATTCTGTTTTTTAAAATAAAAATTCAATCACTAGCAGTAGGTTTAAACCTGATACTCTCTGAAAGGCAGATTATTTAATGTTCTTACTCTAAAAGTCTATGGGATTTGGGACATTGTAATGAAAACTGTATTACATAAATTTGTTAGCAATCACTTCTTTTTATTGTGCTCTTTTATTGTTTTCTTGCTATGATTTTCTGAATTTTTTTCCTTGTGGGTCTTTTGCTTTGCTTTTGTTTTTGTTTGATTGTTAGATTTTGCTTTGATTGGTTTGGTTTGGTGGAGTTTTTGTTGTTTGGGGGTGTTTTGGATGGGGGGAGGGTTTTTTTCCCCCTGGTCTCTCCTTCTGGTAAAAGTCAGAAGCATTACCACTGTAGCAAAAATGTGGGAACTATACAAATTATCAGTATAATGTGCTGCACTTAAGGACAAACATCTTTTAGGTCAAAATTTTTTGACAAATATTAACTTCAGAGGAAGGAAGAACTCATCCCAAAAGTATACAGCAGAAAGGAGCAAACTAGAAGTTTTTTTAATGTGTCATGAATGTTGTGAAATGGGAACAATTAATTCTCCATAAATGTAATATTTTTTTCAAAGTGTGATGCAAAATTTAAAACTGCGCATGTAGTTTTTTTCTAAAAAATGCCAAAGCAATGAGAACGTGAAATCCTGTGTGAAATATTTAAGGCAATAAGTTTGATTTTTAGAATTTGTGAATACACTTACTTTTAAAAGTATTAATTTTTTGTTTGGTTTTTTTTTGTCAAAACAATTAAGTTCAGAGTTCAGAATAACTTTATTTTCCTTTGAAGATCTCCTAGTTGATATGTTGGGGGTTCTTGCCAGCTACAGCATCACTGTCAAAGAGTTGAAGCTTTTGTTCAGCATGCTTCGAGGCGAAAATGGAATCTGGGTAAGCTGTGATCAGATAAAGCAATAAGTGTCATTCCATTAGAGACTAAAGTTAATGTAAATTGTCTCCTGGGACATATAAACTTGAATTAATTGTTTTTCTCATGTTGACTGAACATATGTTTAAGAAATATTTTTGCTAACTACTTCAGAGTTAATTTACTGTGTTTGAAAACTGTCCACTTTGCACTGTAGCCTATAGAGTACAAAAATTATTGTATTGACTTTTATGCAATTTTCTTGTTTTCACAGCCAAGACACGCAGTTAAATTATTATCAGTCCTTAATCAGATGCCACAGAGACATGGGCCTGATACCTTTTTCAACTTCCCAGGCTGTAGTGCTGCAGTAAGTTTTCAACCAAAATACTACAATTTCAGGAAGAAATAGTCCCTTTTTTGCATTTCCTTTAATTTGTTTCAGAATTGCGTGAAAAGGAATTAAGAGGATAAATGCATGCTTGAGAAGTGTATACGTTTCCTTCCATAGATTTGCAAGGTAGTTATGTTGTTGAGAAGTTGCACTTGTGAGGATGGAATGTCAAGCAGCAGATTTTTGTTTGGGGAAGTTACTGTAAAAGTGAAACCTGAAAATTCCAAAGAACAGTGTTATTTTATTAGAATAATGTGATTGATATTATATAAAGGAAAGGGCTGAGGAAAATCTAGGAATGAACTTCTGCATGTCACCACAGTTTACAGTGACTGCTTAGTCATACATTTTATTATAAATTTTTCTGTTTATCTGAATTCCAACAACTGTTTACTTTGCATCAAGGCAGTGATTTAAATGCAGTCTTCTTTTTGCTTTTCTTCGTGAGATAACTTACAACGGCAAAATTGTATTCCTTTCCAACCTTCCCAAATGGATATTCTCTCTTTCACTGACTGCATGTACTTTTAGAAAAAAAGCTACAAATAAATAAAAATATTGTATACAGATTTATAGGTTATTGAGAGTAAATACAAATGGGTAAAGCAGAGTAATCCATATTTGAGGTTTAGTTCTATTCTGATATGTATCAGGATATACTTATGGTAGAACATAGGATCTTTTAACAGAAAATAATCCTGAAATTCCTGTTTTCTCATGCCAGTGCTTGAAGTCTGCTCTGCTTGCATTTTATCAGTAGCTGTCCTGGTTTGAGACCCCTAAAATCCAATTCCCGAGGCCAAGCCCCCCTCCCACATCTCACCCCAGTGTGAGATGGGTTTTCCAGACACAACACAAGACTCAGTATGGGGGGAAGGAAATTATATTACAATCACTGTACAAATAAATATTACAATACAGTATCATATACATAATCTTTAACTATTTCTCCTATGATAAATCAGTACTTACAATGGATCAATCTCTTCTCCCTCCAATAAAAGTCCAGAAGGGAAAAGGAAAGATCTTTTCCACTCTCAGAGCAGCAGCCTCTCTTCTTCTGTGCAGCAGCTGTAACTGGACTCTTGTAGCTGGGTCTTTTTCCAATACAACACAGGGGGATTCTCCTCTACCCCTCTTGGCTCTTTGACTCCAGTCAAAGGTCTCTCTCTCTTCTGTAGCTGTGTAGCAGGGACAAAACTCGCTTCACCACGTCATATCATGGGGTGTAAGACCTCCATGAAGGTCCCTTCCTCAGGGGATTCACCCCTGAGTCAGAACGTCTCGGGCAGCTTTCAGTTGAGAGCCTTTGCCTCAAGAGTTCTATCAGAGCTCCTGTACTCTGTCTCAGCTGCCAGCTTGGCAGCAGCAGGGGGAGGGAAGCAAGGCCACCCCCTCTGCATTCCGTCTGGCCGTCCCGGTCCAGCTCCGGGACGCCGAGCTTCTTAGCTTCTCTCTCTCTCCGGTGCTGCAGCACTTCAAGACTCCTCTCAAGTAGGAGTCCATCTCCTTCTCCTCTCTAGGAGGTCTCAGAAGGGTTTGGGGGGTTTGTTTCAGTTCTTACCCCAAACTCTCTCTCTCTGTAGAGCTTAGTTCTCTCTCTGCTGCTGGCTTTCTCTCTGCTGCTGGCTCTCTCTCTCTCTCTCCTTGCAAGAGTTCTCTCTGTGTTGCTGCAGGCCGTCTCTGCTGCTTCTCCTTATCTCTTCTGGCTCTCTGCCACTGTTCTCCAGTCAGTGCTGTTTCTGCCACTGCTCCTTCTGCCCACTCACGGTGGAGAAAACTCCCAGCTTCTCCGTCACAGACTGCGGTCTGGTTTAATACTTTTTCCGAGTTTCTATGACCCTAGCCGGGGGCTGGGGGGCCGTGGCCCCCCCAGAGGGGCTCCTACCCCTTCTCCCTGTGGCCCTACAACATGACCACTTCTCTCCAACAACAACTACATCCTTCTTTTCCTATCTGCTTGTGATATGTTTATATTTTGCAGGAGCGCTCATTGGGTCCACATCAAGTGACACCACCCCCTCGGGGGTTACCATTTTTTTAACTCCAGGGGGAAAACTTTTTTCCCCCACCACAGTAGCACTGATAATCTTCTTCAAGCACAAACCACTGCCTCCATTTCTTGTGAATACAGTTGTTGGTTTGGCAGATTGCATCAGGGAAATAAACTGGCTAAAATCGCTCTTTTACACCTGGGTTATTTTTGCTAATGACTTCTTTGATCTTGTTGGATATTCAGCTGTATAAACAGGTGTGTCAGCAAAATGCATAGTGCAGATTGTGTAAGGAATTAATTAATGAGTTTTGAAAGGGAAAGTTTCATTTCGTACTGCTAAATTAAAGCCACAGTTAACCTCTGCTAAAAGTAGATGCAGCAGCAAGACAGGTGTTCCAGAATATGAATGTCTACAATGACACGTACTGCTTTGACATCTCTGGGCTTCAGAGGCAAACCCTAATGAAATTTCTCTCTTAAACTTATCAGAGGTTCAAAAAAGGTTTTGCAGGGAAAGAATTTCAGATATTCCTCCCCGTCCAAAGATATGCATCAGTTACAGGAGCATAAAGCTCTTAATTGAAATGCCCAGTACGCATTTCTCTTTCCTTGGATTGGATCCTTCCAGGATTTTGTTTTACATAACACTCAAGATTGACTTCAATCTGTAAATCAAGAAGTATGAGTTTCAAGTTTACACTTCTTGAGGTAGTGCATGTTGGATTACACTATGAAGTTCTGGAGAGGATACATCCTCTGAAGTGGACCAAGGGCAAATATTTATAAAATGACCCAAAAAACAAAGCACTTCATTAGAAGAGAATGGATAGGACCTTGTTCACTAGCACTGAGTTCAAGTTTTCAGGTGTGATGCACTGTGTTGACATCAGACAGAGAAACAGTATAATTTTTAATTGGCATAATAAATATCAGATTGGCCCTCTTTAAAGTTAGGTGCATGCTGCTTGTATAACCAAGACTTCTGTGGCAGTAAAAAGAGCCAAGAGTCTACTGAACCAGTCTAGTGATATGCTTCTGAGACCTGCTTCACTATCCCAGGTGAAGGGCTCTTCCAGAACTGTATTACATCTCTGCCAGTCTGCGTAAGTGGCATGTTAGTCACTCCATTTGGACATCAGTGGTGGTGGTTCTTAGGTGTTGTTCCCATTTGTCATCAAGCAGCTCTTCTTCTGTTTCAGGCAGGAAACTCCCTCTCAGCAGGCATATCCCAAAGGTGTTCCTTTAAATGTTCAGTACCAAGCTTGAAGCAGAACTGATGTTATTTCTTTTGTCTCCCTAAGTGCTAACATGATCAGAGCACATTGCTGTATCTAATTATAAAATGTACTGTGATTTTCCTATTTCTCTGCTCTTAAAATTATATCAGCAGTTGACTTGCATATAAAAATGATGGAAAAGTCAGTCACAGAATCATAGAATAGTCTCACTCACGCTTGTCCTATCACTACATACCCTTGCATAAAGTCCCTCTGCAGCTTTCTTTTAGGCCACCTTTAGGTACTGGAAAGCTGCTATGTCTTCCATTTCCTCCCTAATCGTTATTCAAGGCCTTGCCCAGGTATAAGGAGTTCTCTGAAACCTCTTCATCAGTCAGCCCCTAAAAATAAAATATTGAAAAATTTAATTTCTTCCCAAGACATCCCTTACTATGGATGTATTTAACTGGGAATTGGAGTAAAACTTTCAGTCTCTTACCTTAATAGATGTTCATAGGAAAAAAAATCTGATAGTGCTCTTACAATTCAGAGAACAACCTTTTTTATACTGTAGTTTTAACAATGAATTTTTATAGTGTGATCTGTTGATTAATTTGATTTAATATTTAAGTTTATAGATGAGATTAATAATTTTTGAAAGCTAAATTTATAGTTTAATTTCTGCAGAAGTATTTTTTCTATTTTTGTTCTGTTAATATCATTTTGTGTCCTCTAGTGATAGAATTTATTTAAAAATTAAAGTATTTTAAAATAGATGGAAAAGTAATGCATTTATTCAAAAGCACTATTTGAAGTTTTTTCTGTATTATTTAAAGTTAAAGCAGATCTACAGATCTAGAACAACAGGATTTTAGAAAGACATTACCTTTAACAGTATTTCTCAAAAAATTAACTTTTTTGTTTCTTTTTTTTTCCTCTTCTTCCAGGCAATTGCATTGCCTCCTATTGCTAAGTGGCCTTATCAAAATGGGTTTACTCTTAACACCTGGTTTCGTATGGATCCACTAAACAATATCAATGTAGATAAGGATAAACCCTATCTCTACTGGTAAGTAACTTATAATGCTGCAGGTATGATTTGTTCTGGCTTCCTAGTATCAGTTAGTCTTTCTCATTGTTTTTAGTTCCCCCCCTACCAAATATCTGCAGATTTTAATGGCTGCTTACTGTATATAAGCTCCTACAAAGTCATCTGTCCTTTTTGCTTTGCAATTTATAAATCCACGGTTGCAAGATATGTGCTTTGTAGATTAACCATAAAATCTAGTGTGGTGGTTTCTTTAGGAATTTTAAAATATGATATTTCTTAGAGCTTTAAACTGAGAATGTTGTCGCATTTTCTGTTTGGTGTTTAAGATTCTTGTCTGATGTTAGTACTACAAAATAAATATGTTATATTCAGCGCACACTGTCTGTATGTTAGCTAGAGGTAATGGAAATTAGATCTGTGAATATAAAAATGGCTTACTGATCACCTGTTCCCAAAAAATGTGCAAATTTGGTGTGAATGTAACGCATATAAGAGAAACTGAATATACCAACATCAGAAGGAAATTAGGAACAATGCGAATTCTTACCATTTTTATATAGTGGCTCAAAGCAAACTATAATTAATAATTCAAAATAGGAAAAACATTCAAACTAGATCTTCTTTACAAAGATGTTGGACTTTGCCACATGAAAGTTTGAGTCACACACTACCACCACCAAGAGGAAGATACCAAAGCAAACATTTATTTTCTTTTAAATGTACTTTTGAGGAGGTAATACTTTTTTCTGTTTACCCAGGTGAAAAATATGTCGTACAAAGTAACTCTTTCTTTTTAGTTTCTTCTTAAAAGTAATCTGTCTCTTAAGCAATCTTTATTTTAAGACCACTAACTTAGTAGCATGCACAACTTCAGATAGTGCTCTGATTTGAAGCAGAGGTGATGAAAGCAGTCAGCTAGAACAGGTTCCTCGGGACCTTCTCCAGTCAGGTGATGCTTAAAAATGGAGAAGGGAAGCAAAGAAATGTTTTCACACTTGCCAGATGTGAGGGAAAATTGCTACTGTTCTGTAACTAGCTAAACACTAAGCCCTACTTCAAGAACTGTAAGCCAATTTGGTTTTTTCTTTAAAAATAATTTTAATTATCTCTGAGGATGATATTGGGCAGCTTCTAACAGACAGTCTATAAACACCTGTGTATTGGGACAATATTGTAGTTATCTTACCAATTATAAAATGAATGTGACAATCCTGGAAAGAAAATTAGAAGTTTGACATTTGCATGGATGATAAATAATAAGGCAGACCAGTCAAGTTCAAATGGTAAGATTCAGAATTACATAGCACAAATTTTAGTATAAGCCAACAAACATCATATACCTTGCAGTGACTAATGAGTAGTTACATATAAGAAAGCAGGGATTACAGTAGGATGTTAAAGGTTGGTATAGGTTACCAACTGATCATAAACTGCTTCTTCATTGCTCTAGCTGAAAAGAGCTAATGGGATCCTTTTAAGGATAGTCTGAACAGAGAAGAGAAAAAAGGTGATGTGATCCCTTCCTGAAATCTTGGCAAAAACATTACTGAAATGCCATTTACAGTTAAAAATTGGTACTTTTAAGAGGCCGGTGGAAAAATTGGTACTATTCATAGGACACCTGGGAGTGAACTGTGCCCTGGAAGACACATTTTATAATGAAACCTTTCAAGAAATAAAAATAGTGATGAAAGTAAGAATGCTCTTGGCTTCTGTTTTCAGAATTTATGCAAAACCTAATATTGATGGATTTTTTTTAATCTGAGATCCAGTGGGTAGACTGCAAAATAGGAAACATCAAACTTTTAGACACACAATACTTTATCAAAGTTAGAAGACACAGTATAATAATCATCATCATTAAATAGATTTTTGGAAATGTTTTCTAAAAAATAAGGTGTAGATTCTTTGTCATAAAGACATGCAAATTTAGAAATTTAGGGCTAACCTTATGCATGGTCAATTGGGAAGTCTCCCTCCTCTAAATCTCTATACTTCTTCCTGCTAAAAAAATAAGGGATAGGTGGCATAACTTCTAAGTCAGGCCTGGAATTTTATTAGATCGATACGGATACTAAGATTGATTTTTGATCAGGTTTTTTATGTTGTTTTGTTTCATTATTTTTTAAGAGATGTTTTCTTTCAGATTGTGTATCAGGCTCTGTAAAAAAATTGGAGGGTGAACTGAGGCCGGATTGTTATAATTGTTGCTTCTTGTCAATAAATCATCCAAGTGCTTTTACAAGCATTTAATGGAAGAATGGCTAAAACTTCTGCAAGTGCATTCTACCTTTTATTTTTACAGACGTAAGAACAAGGAGAAAAAAAAAAGCCAAAAATCAAGCTGTCTAGTATTGTCAGTCCTTCTCTAGACCTAATAATAATAGAAATAATGCAGAACAGTTGCAAAAGCACATAATGGAATTCCAAAGTTAGTAGAAAGGAACTTCCCCTCCCCCTCATTCTGGCAAGAATGTATTAATATCTTCTCAGTACTATGATCATATGTTAAATTGCTTGTAAAATCCTAAGGTAAAGAAACTGGAATCCCTAAACAGTTCCCTGGCGGATGGAAGAATGCTTTCGTGCAATGGAAGTGTAATGACATTCAGTAGCTGCTTTGAGGAACTGGCTGAAATGAAACATAACTGTAAAGGTTTTATGAATGAACTGTAGTAAAATTGTATACCAGCTGCTCTGGGAGGTAGTTTAAGGCTCATAAAACCATATGGCTGTTGACAGTACTGCTCTTGTTGTCTCTGTGCATTTCATCTTTGGATGTGGCAAGTTCTACACATGTAGGTAATTTGTAAGGAATTTCTTTGCAGTATCCTACCTTTGGCAAGAAGTAAAATGTGAAGATTAACATTATATACTATAATGTTGAGGTAAACAGAGAACATATCTGAGTTCTCAGTTTCTTAATTACTGTTGTATTAGAATTCTAATTATTTGGAGGAAAAAAGTCATGTTTATAGAATCTTTTATTCTATTATTCTATTCCAAGTTGAAGAGCCCTGCTAAGAAAGGAGCTGTTTTTCATTATGTCATTGCTTTATTGTGTTCATATGCTGAACTCTGGGAAGTTAAAGTGCTTAAAATTTCAGGAACAGTCTCATTTGACCATAATGGTGACAAAATCAGCCCAGTAACCAGTAAGGATAGGAAATGAAAAAAAATTAAAGGTGTAGATGTTTCTTCAAGAGACATTCTTTATTTCAAAATGCTTACTAGCTCCTATTGAAAGTAGTAGGATGCATCTTACACAATTGTAATAATGTTTTATCAAGTAAAAATGTGATGATATTCACAATGTTAGGCAATTTAAATTGGTAATTTAAAATAAAACATTTTATTTAACATGTCTAATCAAATAATACCACATCATATGTCAGGCCGTAGTGAATCTGTATTTTTTTTTAATATCCTTCAGGATGGGATTCTGTTAAACAAAACCATTTTAGACTATAGAGATGACTTAGTTGCTGAAAAACAAATTTGTCATTGTGAGAGATACAGCTACCTGCTGAAAAATTTTTTGAATGGCATAAGGCCCTAAGGAGGTTAATCAAAGTCTCAGACCAGTTCACGACACAATCAGTTGTTTTTATTGTAAAAGCTGTAATTTAAGTTTTTTAACCTTCATGTTATTGTGCAAAATTCACTGATGTGGTCGTGCAGGTAATTTGTATATATAGGTAATGTAGATTGTATGCATATATGAATGATATTCACTGTTCCTTTTGTTGAGGGGTTAGCTGCCTATGGGGTCATTGTGGAAGCCAGATCATTGACGTGATCCAGATTAAAAATAGTCTTCAAAAGATAAAGGGGAATGTCAGTGTTATAAATTGTCTTCATTGTTGAGGTCAGTGGTAATGGACAGTATGTAATTTTTCTCTTCATTCTTAGATTATGTATTGGTTTATTTAGAGAGGAGTTTTTATGTTTATTAAAAAGAATGCCCTTTTTTTTTGCAAAGAGTGGTGTATGGAAGCCCTTTACTAAAGGCTGTGGCAGGGAATAATGCTCCTTTTCAGCACAATAGCTTGAGGGGAGAGAGAATTGTGTGCAATGTATAGAGGCAGATGAAAGAATGAAGAAGACACAGCTTGAATTTGAGAAAATAAAGAGATATCCTATATATACTTCAAGACTGGAAGGAAGGACCTCTGGCTGAGGACCCATTAGAGTGCAGAAAATTCATCTCTAGATGTTATTATTCCTGTTCTGTTTAGCCTCATCACCCTGTTTTTAACATTTAATAAAAGTATTCTAATTTATTAAAACAAAAATGGCTTTCTAGAATTCGGTAATTTGAATGTCTGTTTTTTGCCTCCTTTAAAAATTCACTTAGAGGAGAAGAATGTGTAAACCCTGACTACCTCAGGGTCTAATCACACCACCTATCTTGTAAAGAATCTATTTTTTTCATAAGGTCATGATTTATGAGCTATATTTTTGACAGTGAGCAAAGAGGAAAATCTGATTCTCTCCTTCAGTGATGTATGCATACACATTTAACTGTAATTTTCTGAAGATGGAATTAGGTCTATAGCTATGCAATTTTTCTGCATATTAAAATCAAGGTTATATCTTTGTAGTAGGGTAAACTAAAGATATAGAACCTAATATATAGAAAGATAAAGATATGTAGCACCTATTAAGTAAGATGAAATCTGAATTAGTGTTTGTTTGTACCTTTCACTTCTTAATGTTCTTAGCAAAAACCTAGTAAAGTGTTTGATGAAAATGTTGCAACAAAGAAACCATTTAAAACATCACTGTAAGAATATGAAATTACTTTATACGTTAGCTACATTAAGAGAATGAAAGTGTTAATTAGTGGGCTACAGGACTTTATACAAATGTTCAAAATTAGTGTCTTTTCTCATACTTGCAAAGCTTCATTTAAGAATTTATTGATGAAGTTCACCATCTAGACCTTGTATTTCAACCATTGGTTATTTATTTAGAGAAAGGCTGAAAGCTGTATGCTCCTTATTAATCATAGCAGACTGCTCCTTACTGTACTTAGCTTTTCAGAAAGCATTAAGTGACAATGGATGTAGATATGGACTTACCCATTTTGAATTGCTCTGTGTAATGCCATTTGTGTATTTTGACCAGCTACCTTTGCAAAATGTTTTTTAATAAGTCCAGTATTTCTCTTTACAATGCTTTTGATTTCAAATATAACTAGAGAAATGTATGAGATTTCTGCATTATCTGTCTTCATGACGTTTGTCACAAGAAGGCTGAAAACCGTTACTAAACTTAGTTTCTTAAAATTTCAGTCCTTTATCCATTTGACAAATGAAAATAAATTCACCACTCAGATGAATAAACCTTCATAGATCATTAGCCTAATTAATTCATGTCTTGAAAAATAATTCTTTTGCATAGTAATTGTCTTGAATCCCAATTTGTATGTCATACCATCTGCATTTTTCTCTGAACCCCATAAAATTGCAAGGCATCTCACACTTGTTCTGTAATGGTTATTTCTTCACAACTTTAATCAGATGTATTATTTTAAATTATGATGAATTAGGAAACTGAGGGGAAACATGATAGGTATGATATTTACTATCTTGGATTTTAGTAAAAAAAAAGTACTGATTTTTAAAGTGTAGCCTGGAATCAATTAAGTGCTGAACGTGAGTAGTGCCCTCCAAAGAATGCTGGGAGAAAATGAAGTTCACCATTCTAGGTACTAAGTTATGTTCTTTCTCATGGCGATTTAAAGTTGTATTTGAACCTCTTTATTATACAATAATTCCCCTTGTCCCAATTTCATTCATAATTCTTTCTTTTCAGTTTCCGCACTAGCAAAGGTGTTGGATATTCTGCTCATTTTGTTGGCAACTGCTTGATAGTTACATCATTGAAGTCAAAAGGCAAAGGTTTCCAGCACTGTGTGAAGTATGACTTTCAGCCACGCAAGGTAAGCAAAGTGGTATTTACAATGAAGAATAACATTGAAAATGTGACAAAGTACTTCTGGGAAGAAGGACTAAAATCTCTTTTGTGTTACTAATACTTTCTTTTTTATGAGTAACTGCTCTGATGATCATGCAAAGTTTTATGTCTATTATAGTTCAGAATCAATTAGAAAAAAAATTAATTTATAGAGTAACAGTTCTATAAAGTCAGCTTGTTTTTTAAAGTACTGCTTAATTAGCTTCAGACAGAGAAGAATTTTGAGTATTTGTAAAATGATTGTATTTTATTATTAAAACTCCCTCATTCTGTTTCTGAAAATTCTGTACCTGGTAGCTTTGTGGCCAATGTCTTGAAAAATTTTACTGGCAATGCTGTATGATATAAGGCTCTGAACTTTCTTCTGTGTCAGTGATGTTTCGGGATTTCTCATTTTTCATAGTATATCGTGATTATATCTGTAGATCATATTAGTGTTCATTTCTACTCTATGCCTAGTAATCCTAGGGGAACAATTATTCCACAGCCTTCAAAATTGCAGTTAGTTGACTGAGGCATTGACTTTCCATACAGCAAGCATTATGTGTTTGTCATTGATAGCGGTCTTGTGTATATTTTGCTGTGAAGCTCATTTCTTTTTTTATGGGCTTAGATTTTGTATGTTGAATTTCAGTGCTTGTTTTGTTCTGAGAAACCAAACTCTTAGGGAGGGAATACCATTGTTCACACATCAGCTTAATGTTCTACTGTTTTTCTTAGTATGTATTTGTGATTCAAAATCACTGATTCTGATTTCATCAGGTAGCTTTTGTTCACTTGTGGTTTTTTTAAAATGAAGTAATGTCTTTTTCTAGCATATTACTCGAAGATATATAAAGCCTTATAAACACGTCTGCTGAGTCTATCAGAATGAATCAATTCTGTTTTGCACATTTAATTTTATGGACAGAAAAGTGTTGTGATAATTCAATTTTCTTTTACAGTAGCACATTTGATGCTACTGATGAACACTGAACCTGGAACAAATGAACAAATGAAATTGTTAACTTCTGTATTATGTTAATGTTAATTAGACTGTGGGATCTAGCTGATCTTTACTTGCTGATGAAGTCATGTCTTTCATATTTTAGCAAGACATTATTTTGATAATTTTTAATACAAATGACTAGTTTTCTTCATGCCAACTCTAGAAAATTTTAGCTTTTGCTGTTCTACTTAAAATAGCTAATTGTGAAATACTAGTACACCTATATCTCATTATATGAATAGCAGTTTCATATCATAATCAGCTGATCTGCTGAAGTATGTCCAAATATAACTCCCATGATAGTTTCATATTTCCCAAAGTTTGTGCTTCATACACGTTGGGTCATATGCCAAATTTGGAAAGTATTTGAAATACATGTTATAGAATATATTTGCACGTGGTTTAATATATTTTTTCCATTACTAAGTTGTGTTTACACGTATGTGGTAAGGTACATAATGCATAATGGAGGAAATAAAATGTGTCAAATACAACTTCTGGCTCTAACAAGTCAAAATGTATACTGTTTAACATGTAAATTGATTTTCTTCATGTTTTTTAGATGTGACACTGGTTTCACTGTGCAAGCTTTGAATATGTAGATATGTATTCAAAAATTGTGTACTGATTTACAGAGCAGCTAACTGTCCAAATGCTAACTTGAGAGGTGTGATTTTTGCCATCAGATGTACTATTTCCTGTAGTTTTTTGTATTTGCTTACAGGCATAGACATTTCAGCAATAGGTTTTGCCAGAAACATCATCCTCATTAAACTACTGAATAATTTTTTTTTTTAATTTTTGGTAAATCACAGTAAAATTATATATTCAAATCACCTAGTCAAAAGCTTTATGTAGGCAGATACAAAAGTTACTATGTTCACATAAAGATCTCCCCGCTGTTAATTGTTTCATATGACACCATTCACATAATGTGTAATCTTAATTTAAAACTTTAAGATGTGTCAAGTGGTTACTTTAGGCTTCAATTGGTGTATTTTAATAACATTGTAAAAGCAAGCATTTATAAAAACTTATGGAGAAATTTGCTATTATATCTCCAAATAAAAAATGTGAGTGTAATACAGTAGACTGACATCTCAAGAGAGCTACATAAGCTGTGGCAGTGTTGTATTTGATATGTCTATACTGCTTTTTTGGTGCTTCAAATTGAAATTTTTGTGTGTTAGTAACCGTTAGTAATATCTACTCCCTTGAGTTCCAGCCTCAACATCAATCCTTTTAAAAGTATAACAGGAAAACAGTGTAGTCAAGAGCAAACAGCTTTTTTGTTTTAGGTGTTTCTAATTCTGAACACCTTTACTAATTTTAGTATAGACAGAAATAAATTCCACATATTGGAAATACTTAGTGTGTGATGCCTTATCTCTCTGATTGTACTGTGCTATGGAGTAGGAATATCACTTCGCAGTTGGTGACTAAGCTCAACAGATTTCAGCAGTATAAAAAATGGACAGGTTGTTATCTAAAGTGTTTTTGAACACTACCTGAAGAAGCTCTTGTTACAGCTGAGAGGCATGGTCTTTGTGCATTTTTGAGAAAACGATATAGGAAAGGAAACTGCAGGATGAATGTTAAAGAAAATTGTATTACTGACTTTGAATATTAAAAAAAAAAGATTTTTTCAACTAAAAGCTGAAGAAAAATTTTATGTAAGATTATGCAATTTGGTTTGGTTTGTAGTATATTAGGAAAGTCCTGAAAATCATGTCCTCTGATACAGAATAGGAGGGAAATCAAAAAATCACTTGTACTTGCACTACCTTGCTGTAAACTGGGTGGCATCTTACTTGTACAAGGGTTCAAACTTTTAAACAGCATATGCATTTAGATTTATGTACTTTTGAAACTTTTTAGAGAGTTCAGACATTGACTCATGCTTGACTTTGTCTTGAAAAATGCTGAATATGCTTGAATATACAAGATTTGCAATTTTTCATTTTTAAAGGAACTGAGAAAAACTGCCTTTATTTCTTAAATAAAAAAGGTGTTTACTAGTGCTAGAGAAATTGCCTGAATGCAAAGATACAAAAGGCTGAGTGAATATAACATTAGTCAAAAAATCCAGTAGAATGTTTAAAAGCTCCTCACAATGTACCTGAGCATAGATAAATAGCAAAGTACAGACAACTGTACGTAAAAGGAAGGTGTTCAGAAAGCTGAAGTTGTGTCAAAAGAGTACTTAGAAAAGTATAAGTTATAGCAAATAATATGCAAAATTATTACAATTCAATTTTTTTTCCTGTGCTCGAATGACTAAGGCTTAATAGGAGCCTTTGAAGAATATCTTAACATAAGAAAAAAGCTAAATCATTTAATTGCATCATTGTTTACTACAACACGAGTCTATGGGGATGAGTCAGAGGAAGTGTCTGGAATTGAAATGTCAATAGAAGAGATATAGAAATCAATGTAAGAGATAGTAATTAATTACCAGGACCTTAGAAAAGGCACCCCAAGTTCCAAAGAAATTTGAATACAATATTTACCAAACTTTCAATTGGGATATATAATCCATTTTTTCAAAGAAATTGTTGATGGAAAATGCTACAAATTTTAAGAAATGCCTTTGCTGATATTTGGAGTTACATATTATCATGCCTGATTTCTTAGCAATCAAAATGGGTAGAAGCTAGAAAAATGGAAAGGAAGGATTAGAAAATATATAGATAATATTCATATCTGGGATAAAGCAATGTGCTGATGCACTGGAATTCTTGTCTGCTGCTTCCATTCAATTATTTGTGAGATTCTCACTTTGTATAAGAACAGGTTTGTGAGCCAGTTGATACACTCTATTCCTGAAGACCTCTGTTCCTGAAAGCCTTAAAAAAGTTATGTAATCATGTGATAAGAGAATTTATACATGTAAAATACAGTGATAGAAGGATATCAATCAAGTGAGCAAGCAGGAATCTCAGGAGGACTTTTATTTTCTTATTGCGAAGTATGCATTGTGAACTTGATGGTGTTTGTCATCCTCTATTTAGGAACTGGCTTTGAAAACCTATGTTACTCCTTTTATCCAGATTTGATAGTGACAAATATGAGACAAAGAGTAAACCATTTTTTAATACTTGAATACTTCCCTTGCCATTTAAGATGTAAATTTAGTTATTTCTAGTGTAGGAAGACAAAAAGCAGTATTTGACTGGATTAGTTATGATAGCGATCTGGGACAGACTTTGTGTGCACGCATGTGTACATGTGCACGTGTATTCAAGAAAATCAAAGCTCAGGTTTTTTTACCTTTTTTGCCTTTCCCAGTCTTAGATGAGTTTAATGGTTCAGTTTTGAGGGAAACTTCATGTTTTCTTCTTGAACTTATTTGTTGTGGACATAATGATTCCTGTTAAACAAAGTATTTGAAAGACCACAATACTTGTACTTGGAAGCATTTAACTGTGATGCTTTCTCTGTTTGATTATAAAATATAATTTAATGATATGATAGGTGTCCAAAAATTGGTGGAATGGTAAAGAATAGAGGAAAAACATCAAAGGAAACAATCAGGATAACATCTTAAACTGGGCTATAAAATTTGCTATTATGAATTTTTTCTTTTTAATTTATAATTTTTGACAGACAGTTGTGATGCAAAGGCAGAGCTGTGTGATAAGAATTTGTTAATGTAAGAGCACATAGCTCTGGATTTCCCATCAGAACTGAGTTGTGTTTTGTGTGTATTGTGTATAGTGTTGAAATTAAATTACACTTTCAGGAATCAAAGTTTTTTCAGCTTTTTAATTGTACGTATGCAATTTTGTCTCTAATCCCGTAAGGGGATGCTGGTAGGTACATCATTACATTTAGGCACAATTCTACTGACTGGACCTGAAGTTCCAGTGACTTGACTTTTAATTTTACGGGTTTGCAAGAATACATCTGTTAGTATAACTTTATGAGACTGGTCACTTATTTTTTTATGTCATTCATTAACTTTATATTTTATAGCACAAAAACTGATTGTACTGATTGTTCTTGTCTTTCCAGTGGTACATGATAAGTATTGTACACATCTATAATCGATGGAGAAACAGTGAAATACGATGTTACGTGAATGGTCAGCTGGTATCCTATGGTGATATGGCCTGGCATGTTAACACAAATGATGTAAGATTTTATTGTCTTCCTTTTTTATAACTTTTTATTTTAAAGTTAATTGAAAAAGAAAAAAAAAAGTACTGTATTTGTTTACCTCGTGTGATAGAGTTACAGATTTGACAGATTTAGCTTGAGAAAAGTCCTTAAGAAAAACTGATTCATTCTGCCAAATAACTATGCATGCTGCCAATGGATACAAAATTACTGTTTTTTGTAGATGTGAGATTCTGCATTGGATTCAAGAGGAGATATTTGTTAATCTGTAGAAGATTTCTCTGCTTTTTGCCTTAAGGAACATCAAATTTTAAGTAGGCTCTTTAATTGAAGTAGAACAGAGTAGCCTCAGCTATTATCAGAGTCATATTGCTTTAAGCACTGTATAAATATAGTAAGAAATCATTTCGTCTATGCAGAGTTTACAGGTTTAAACCAACAAGATAGAGAGAGAGAGAGAGACAAGGACTAGCAAACAGAAGCATGGAGAAGTGTCCAAGGAGATATAATAATCTGAAGTCTTAAATCTGTCTCCCAATTATAAGTATATTTTTCCTATTGTTTCACTTGCAATTAGTAAATAGGCGGTTGACCAATAACAAAAAAATGCTGTGCTAATGTTACAGTATTAATATTTAAGTAATATTGTTAGCAAGTACAAATTAGCTGCTACAAAATTTCATACCTGCAATACGGAGCAATTTTAGTGGGTCGTAAGCTTTTACAGACATGTGGTCCCTTATTGGCCATTCAAACCAGTTAAAAGATATTGAGAGGTGTACAATTGCACAGCATTAGTAATCTTTGAGCAAAGATACAGTGATCTTGCAACTGTTTGTCCAACAGGTAGAGAGCAGTCATTTTTACCAGAAGATTGCATGCATACCTGTAAATACACTTGTATCTATTAATTGGACTGAGATCAAATAAAAATTTATTCTTACAGGAAATGCATCTGCTTTTATATTGTTTGTAATTTTATTATTTTAATGACATTTATAAGTTCCAATTTTAATGTTTTGGGGTATGTACACTCTCTTTCTGTACCTTCTACTTTGGAAAGCTTGAGAGTCTACACCTAATGATGCAGAAAATAGACACTCTTTCTGACCCAAAATTCTGGATGTGGCAGGCATACAAAATGGTTTTCTTGTGCTTTGCCTTCAGCTAAAGCTGTGATAGACTTTCAGAGGTTCTTGATCCATCAGCTTGCTACACTTTTGTTATTTTTTTATTTATAATACGATTCTCAGTTTTTTCTGACTAACTGTGTGGGATAACAAAACCTGTTTGTACTTAAGGAAATGAGCTGTCTTTCACTAAATTCTAGAGGCAAAGTTGGATTTGAAAGGAAGGGTTTAAATATTACATGTTCATTAAAGTAGGAGGGCTCTGCTTGCTAAAGCTTCTGATTGCCGTTCTTTGTTCTCTTGGTAGCATTTCTACTTGCAAGAAAAGGCAGGCCTTTCAGTTTTTGCAGAGCATGGGTTTCCCCTTGGTGATGTAAACATTTTTGTGATAAGTGGAATGTGATGACTGAAAAGCCACTTGAGGTCTCCGAGGACCTGGGCTGTTACTGGTGTGTGGAGATCTGTAGTCCTTCATGACAAATGCTAAGTGGGAAGAGCTGCTGTAAACTGGGAAGAATGAAAAAAGAAAGAACTGGAAATTACTCCAGAGTAGCAGACCTAGTGTGTGATTATGTGTAAAACTCAGAATCTGTTGAGAAGTTCAATGGCTGTTGTACAATTAATGGTTACTAGAAGAATTCAGGAAAATGCCATTGTAATAGGCAGGAATGTATATCTCAGAATATTTAAGTACAAATTAGGAAAAAAGTGACGTCGGTAGCTCAGACAAATTCCTCAAATAACCATTAACAATGGCAATTGCTCAACATTAATTGACTTAACACTTTCTGACAGTAATGGCACAGTGTCAGGAAAGCCTTCAAGGCTAAGCAAGACTTCAATGAACTAACTGAAAATTATTAGAAATTTTCACCATTAGATTTACCAGGAGTCAGAGGGGTCTCATTAGCCCATATTTTGCACTGTGCATCCTGGATATGACTTTATGAATCAATATTAATGTATTTTTTTCAGAAGTTTTTTAATTTTGTCAAAATAATTGCTTAAAAAAATAGAAAGGGAATTTTTTTTTTCCAAGGGGAAAATATAATTAAAAGAGGTATTTGGTCAAAAGGAGGATAAATCAAAGATAAAAAGCTGGATACTTCTTACCTCACCTCATCTCAAAGCTGAGCTCCAGATCTTTGACTTCCTCCTAGCTGCTTAGACAGACTCCCCTTTTCCTTGTTAATAGCCTATTCACCTACATCAGTTTCTGTAACAGTTCACCATATTTCGTTCCATTCTCTATTTTTCCTTAAAGTAAAACTCAGCAGTCAAGCAAGATGAAAAAGCAGGCTTCCTAATGCAGGTTCTACTGGTTTGCTGATTCAGCTCAAAAAGTGAGATGTGAGATGTGATCCTTATTTCCATTTGGTAAAGAACATGTGACTCAAGGAAGCTGACAGAATAGCCTTCAAAGATCCTTGAGCTTCCTGTTGTTGTCCTTCTGTGCCGCATCTTGTATTCCGGTTCCCCAGGTCTTTGTTCTGTACAGGTTTTTTTAGAAGCACCAGAAGAACTTAACATGAATCCTGCAAAATAACCACAAAAATCACTTCTAATCTGAAAAAATAGGAAGTGGATAGATGGAAACTGCAAAAGGTCTTTGTACAGAGGGATAGTTATTAGAAGAAGGAATGGAAAATACCAACTCTTGTGAATGTACAAGGCAGAGGAGAATTAGGTCAAACTAAATCATTATAGCCTGTGGTCATAGAGAAAAACTGCACCGGCTGCAAACTAGAAAAATCTGTGTTTGGGGGGTTTTTTTGTACTAGAGATATTTAGCTCTGTTAGCACAACAGTGAAAGAACAGGGCATTTCAGCATGTGTTCTTGTGAGTTTGCAATGGGAGTTCTGAGTATAATTACAAGGAACTTCAAGGCTTTCGTATTTCTAGAAGGCAATAGGGAAGGTTATTTGGTAATTGAATGTACTATTCTAATTTTCTCTGTTGTATTTTGACCAATTAATAGAAAACAAATCCTAACAGCAGTCATAACAGCATTGTAATGCAGACCTGTAAACCAGTTAATGCTACAATATTCAAAATTAAGTTGTTCACCACAGCAAAGTAATAAATGATTGATAATGGTTGGTTTATCTTTTTAATTACAGTCTCCCTTTATTTGTGGCTTCAGTAGCTGTGCATTAATATTATTTCATTATTAATATTGCTTCTTTCTGGTACAGAGCTATGATAAATGTTTTCTTGGATCTTCGGAGACTGCTGATGCAAATAGAGTGTTCTGTGGCCAGCTTGGAGCAGTATATGTATTCACTGAAGCACTCAACCCAGCACAGATTTTTGCAATACATCAGTTAGGACCTGGATATAAGGTAATAATGGATCTTAAAAGCACAAAACTGGAAAAAGTAAATGATTGATAGATATAATTGGAAGATACATATGGATGTAGATATTCCTCCTAGTATCATGTACATTTTTCACATGATTTGGTTTCAGCAAAAGAAGACTATTTCTTCAAGTATCCTAACTAATTTTGACTTTCCAACAGCTTTTTGGAAGATGCAAGTTTCTTTAAAGCTTAGCTGAAATATGTTTGTGTGTGAAATTTATTACTTTGGATCATACTCAAATTAGAGAAATTTTGTATTCAGTGTACTGAATACCATGGGAATAACTTTCTTCTCTGTGTCTAAAACCTGAGTTAAGGCAGATTAACATTCAGCAAGGCATAATAAACCAATTCTTTCAAATGCATGGTTTCAGACAGTTCTGCTGAAGTACCAGTTGAACTTTTTACTCATGCTTTGCCAGCGACATTTGGGGGACAGTTTGGACAAATTAATGGTGCATGGATCTCTAGTCAGACACTAAAGTGCCTAGTGGATAATACTTGAAAATTAATCTAACCTTGGATAAACACTATTGAATTTCTACAATCAATTATTCCCAAATCTTCTTTTTTTTTATTTTTGAAATTTCCTGTGATCTGAACTAGACTTTCAGTTTTTTGGTATATGCAATACACTCTGAAAATAAAAACCTTGATTCTAGTAATATTAATTTTTTTGTGCTGAAAATGACTGCTCTAAATCATTTGATGATAGCTAGCACTTGAATGACAGCGAGAGTTGCAAATTTCTTTAATGGCAGTTGTGTACTGTGAATAACCAAATATATGCCAGGTTTACTTGGAGAAGAGGAAATCTATTGTATATGGTTGATGGTTAAAACTGCCCTGAAACTAAAAATGTTCAGTCAGTCAATAGATATATATTACCTGTACAAACAAGGAGTATTTTATTCCAAACTTAGTACTGTACTAAACAAATATTTCTGCAAATATGTTTTGGTCATACAAAAGAAACTAATATAACTTTATACTTCTTAATAATAAATGTAGTAAACCTTTATGAATTTATTAAGTTCCTGAATTTGCAGCAGCATACTGATGTGATATCAAATAGGAATAATGTTTTCATGTGTTTCAAGAAGTGAAAGTTATTTTGAAAGGTTTTGTGAGTGTTGAAGGGGTTCATAAGGCACATGTGCTTTCATGATAAATGACATTTCCAGTAGTTATTGCACTAACCTTATTACAGTTTTGTCAAATTGCCTTTCTTGATTCATAGGCTTCCATTAAACTACATTTCTTCACACCTGTAACTTCTTATTGATTTCTTTAAAATTTCAGTTAGATAAATTTAATATTTTGGAGATATTCTTCTTTGGTATATCATATTTTTAGTTTTGGTCATGTACCCAGCACAGTTAATGCCCCCTTGTTCTCTGAAGGAGTTTCCTTCCTTGTCTAAAAATCTGAAAGTATATTTTACTAATTAATAGCAGCTAAAAAGAACATGTTCACAGAGTGGACCCTAGAAATAACTTTTTATTTAACTTCCTTATTTCCGAAAGAAAAAAAAGGACAAAACAGAAGACTTTTATCTCACTTTCTTCCAACCCAAGATCTATCCACATTCAAAAAAAAAGGAACCACATCCTGTAATTTAGAGATCTCAGAACACCAATTGTAGCCTTCACTCAAACCCTACCTCTTTCTCATTTAACTTCATTCTTCAGTTCAGAATACTTAAGTATGGTATTTCTTAATCCAAAGGAGCCTCAATTGATATGTAGCATGAATTGCCGAACATTAGAGATCATATTCTTGCTCTTGCCTAACTTCGTAAAGAGCAACTGTTCTAGATACATTGTGAACTCTGGTAGTGCCAAACTTTTTCTCCCTAAGGAAGATTATTCAAAATAGTTGAGAATTTTTGGAGAGTGTCTTCATACATATGTTTTTTTCTTCCCTATGACAGTCTGTGGTAGTTCCTTTGATTTACAATTCTTACTGTGGTCCATTATATCTGAGGATCTGATTCTTTAGGGGAAGCAACCATCCCTCTACCTACTTTGTTCATGAAAAGAGACTATGATTTTGCCTATCATTCAGCTGCCATCACAATCATTCCTAATGCTCCTAGTCTGCAATGACTGCCATTGAGACCTCTGGAATGCAGAAAAATATGTATAATCTACCAGCATACAGGACAGTACAGTAGGCACACAGCTGTGAATATGTATTGTTGCAAATAACACCAAGGGCACAAAGTTCAAGAAAAGGCACATTTTGATCTACAAAGAAAAATGAATCTGTTGTACCTTGTCCCACCTCTGTTCAGTGGTGCAGGTAGGATTAACTAGAGAAGTCATTAAAATAAGCCTTATTTATTATGCATATCAAATAATTATATATTATATAATTATGTATTAATTATATTATTATATTATTATATATTAAATATTATATATAATGTTTATATTATTTATAGCACATTATATGCTTATTACAGAGTGTTGTAACATAGAAACAGTTAATAATACTTCCATGCTGATCTTGCTCAGCATGTCCTTCTGAATGCATTTGTTTGTAACCAGCATAACTTAGTACAAAAATTTATTTGTTGATTAAATAGATGTTTCAGTTTGAAATAAGTAATAAAGAGGGGAGGAGGGGCAAATATACTTATAACAGAACTATGTGATTTCTCTCTTCCCTGTTGAGTCATCCTAAATTAATCCATAAGTTATCTTGAAATTTAAAATTATATTTAGTAGAAACATAGTAGGATTCAATATTTGCATTCCTAGGTTTTATCCATAATAAAGCATACTCATTTTGAGCCTTGTTCAGCCTTGCTGAACAGGACTTTTACCTATTGTGTTGACACTTGACACTTGTTAGAGATGGAAGAAAGAAAAAAGAAATGAGAACACACTTTCTCACTGTCCTTGTTCTGCTGCCCATCCTTGTTCCCAGGCAGCAAAGAAAAGCCTGTCTCAGCTGGGATTCCAAGGGGCTGATAAACAGAATAGAGGCGCAAGGAAGGTAATTTGGGAGAAAGAGATGCATCTGATAGCAGTGCTGTTTATAAAGAAATGTTTCTGAAAGTCCTGTCCTAATAGCCCTGGGAAATCTGTGCCACTTCTCTTAACCCTCCCATAGACATTTCAAAGCAAGTTATCAGATTATTCCATATGTTGCTCTTGATCAGAGCTGCAGTATCAATCTTTTTGTTACATATGAAGGCTGGAATATGAATATATTCATGCATACACATACACAAAATAACACTGAAAATTCAAATTTTTTTAAACCAATTACGTAGTACAAAACATTATTTTATGTGTGATTGCTGAACTTATAGTAGCAAAATGGAGTGAATAGTAAATCAAAAAGCAGCACTCTTGCTGCTAAAGGAGAGCTGCTGGTGTTTAAGCAATGCTCTTGATCAAGCACAGTGCTGGAGTAATTATTGGCTCTCTGTTCCCTCTCCCATTCCTGTAGGAGCTACGGCTATCCTTTATGTGGATCCTGTATATATTTTTACCTTATATAGAATATGTTGAATCTAAGACTCTTTTTTGCCAGCTTGATGCTTTCACACTGCTTGTACCAGACCTCAGAGTAGCATTCCTTCAGTGACCAGTAACTTACCATTTGCAATGTGAGCTCCTGTGCTCAACAGCTTCTGCTGTCCTCCTGAGGTTGTATTTTCCCAAGTCCCCAGTATGATATGCATATGCAGAATTTCTTTTCTCTTTCTGTAGATCAATGTTAGTAAGAAAGAAGTATCATACATCAGAATTTGTAGCCTCTCTTTCCATTCTGTATAGTAATCTTTTGGGTAGGAGATCACCATTTCCAGTTTATGATTTGTTAGGCTTTGATGGCAGAATGTCCTTTTAATTCCTTTTCTCAAAAAAGTATGAGGCAGTATTATATTGTTTCATAACATATTTGTGCCTGACTTTCAAATAATGATCTCTGATAAATTCTTGAGACATATTGAACACTGAAAATTAGGAGATAGATTAATGCCAAAATTTGTTTATAAAACTGATTTAAGTTAAGCAGTTTAGAATGTTACAAAATTTCATGGCAATGAAAGTATACAATTTTATGTTGAAACACTTTGACTTATTTAAAACAGCAAAGTTATGAAAAAACCTTCAGTTTTGGAATCTGACAAAACTTAGAGGCATGAAAGATTGTCAGGGTAATAGATGTTTTCATTTGACAAAACATTAAAATATAATACATGCAGCATGTAGATATCTTTAGAAATCAATGGAATTACTATATTTTTTCCTCTGCAGAAAGTGCACAGAGTATCTGTATAGTTTAAAATACCCTCTGGGGAGAAATACATCATCACCTACCTCAGGACAAATCTATAATATGTAGCAGTCATTTTCTGATAAGTGATGTAGGCAGCCATATAAACAGAGAGCCAGCTCTCATGTTCTAAGCATAATACTCCTTGTTTGGGGTTTTTGTGCTTCAGTAAGTAGTGTGGCCCAATAGGAACACATTTCTAGATTAAAAGATTTAGTGCTGAGAACTGAATACTCACAGTGTGTAGATTTTGGGGTTTTTACTTCAGATTGGTTTTAGTCTGATCCTTTGGGCTGAATGAATATCACCTATTGCAGGACATTTGAGTTTCAGTCTAAAGGAAGTCTCTTTGGTTCTGAACAACTTTGCAGTATGAACAGAGTAGTAAGTGGGAATCACTGGCAGTTTACCTACAAAACAGACTCCTAACCCAAACACAAATCACAGAATCACAGAATGGTTCAAGTTCTTTGAAGGGACAGCTGGAGATCATCTAGTCCAACCTCCTTGCTCAAACAGGGCTATCTAGAACTGGTTGCTCAGGACTATGTCCAGACAGTTTTTTTAGTGTCTTCCAAGACAGAGACTCTTATCACCTTGCTGGGCACCTTCACAGTGAAAAAGTGTTTCCTGATGTTCAGAAGGAACCTCCTGTGTTCTGACTTTGGCCATTGATGCGTGTCCTGCCACTGGGCACCACTGAGTAGCCTGACACCATCTTCTGTTCACCCTCCCTCCAGATATTTATACATGAGATCCCTTCTGTGGCTTCTTTTCTGCAGGATGAAAGTCCCAGCTCTCTCAATCTTTCCTCACAGGAGATATGATTCAGTCTCTTCATGATTTTAGTGGCCTTTCCTTGCACTCCCTCATTAAGTCCATGGCTCCCAGTGGGAGCCCAGAACTACAGGTGTGGTCTCACCAATGCTAACTAGAGGGGAAGAATCACCTCCCTCCACCTGTTGGCAACACCCCTCCTAATGCAGCTAAAGATATCATTATCCTTCTTTGTCAAATGTAGATTGAACCATTCACTTATTGTCGCCCTTACTAGTTGTGTTTTCTGTTATGGTACCTGCACCTCATACGTTTTCAGCATGGCATTGCAGCCTCCCTTCTGCCTGACATCACCCAGCGTGGGATGCTGCTGACCAACAGATCTGCTCCAAGCCGATCTCCCAGCAGCTGCAGTCAGGTTTCCAGTCTATTCAGATTATGCCCCACATACAAATGGATGCTAGTCACAAGACCTTCTATTGCCATGTGTCACTCACTAGAGCAGGTGCACTTTCCCATCGTTTGGCTGTTAGCAAGATAATTTTGTCAGCATTTCCAGCAGCATTGAGAGCTCTGCAAAGGCTGAATAGGGTTTATGGGGTTATGTTATTGGTAGGAACATCTAATTTGTTTGGAAAGAGCAGTTGATAGCCTATAAATTGCCTGTTTTAATTCTAGCATGGAAAACAAAAATCCTAATGATGGTACTTCCAATAGTTTCATGACATTTCATACTGGGGGGGAAAGGGGAAAAGAAAATTTGGTAGGACCAAAGGGATAAGGAGTATTGTGATGGCTATATGCAGTGAGAAACAAGTAAAATTATTCATATTAACCTCAGAAATAAATTGTTTTAAACTGAGTAAATATTTTAGAAATATCTTACATTTTTATTGCTTAATTAAATGTTGGTAATTTCTAACAAATTTCCTTTGTTTGTATCAGTACGGCACTGTGTTACTACTAGTTGTCTTCTTGCCACTGCTAAATGGTTGTTACAATAGTTATATGCCAAGTAAATCTGACAGTGCTTTGCAGAAAGGCAGAAATCTATCTTCTTGTGCTTGATTGATTTGTCAGTGTTGCCAGAAAAACCTAGTTTTAGATAAGATACAAGTCATGGTATGTTTAGGAGTAACAGAATTTTTCAGCCTTCCTTGGAAAAGCTCTGAGTTTAAGAATCATTAATTTGAAATACCGTATTTATAATTTTATTTGGATTTTATTTTAGTATAAGTAGCTCATTTATATATACTCCTGACTGTTAATTTAGCATGGATTTTAATGCTGTTCAAAAGTAACTATTCCTTTAATCAAGATGGTATATCATTTTATATTCTAATTTGAGTGAGTTTATATAACCTGAAATACAAAGTGATTAATTTGTTCATTATTTTTAATGTGTTATATGCTTACTTTTTATTTTAACATATTTATAGCTGCTTAATCTGACACTTTTTTTTCAGGTAGTTACTTCTGAAACTTGTTAACACTGATACTGAAAGGAGAGATACTACATACAATACCAAATATTGTATTGATACATTGGTGTGGTGTAGAGTAAATAAAAAAATTGTCTAATTGTTCAGTAGCATTAGGCTACTGGTGAATAAATGAAAACAAAGTTTAGTAGTTTCTATATGCCCTCTCAAGTCCCATGTAGTCTTTGCACATTTTATGGCAAGGTTTCTATCTGAATTAATTACTTTGTAAAACTTCTGGTTTTTTTCAGAGCACGTTCAAATTTAAATCTGAGAGTGACATTCATCTGGCTGAGCACCATAAACAAGTGCTATATGATGGGAAACTTGCAAGTAGCATTGCTTTTACTTATAACGCGAAGGCTACTGATGCTCAACTATGCCTTGAATCCTCACCAAAGGAGAATCCTTCAATTTTTGTACACTCCCCCCATGCTCTTATGCTTCAGGTTTGTGCTGCTAAATTGATGTTATGAGATTACCGTTAGCTGAACGTCACTTGGATAACCAGAGGATTTGTGTGCTAGTGTACAGAGATTGTTATTTTGTATTATATAAGCTCTTAAGATAGCTTTCACTTGACCTGTTCTTTCTTCGCTGACTTTCTAAAGCAAGAGAAGATTATTTCTCCCTTAAGAAATATAGACTTCATACCTTATATAAGGCACAGTTTGCCATGATAAAGAAGTTTTTCTGTTTAATGTTTGCCTTAAATATAGTGATTATAATTTAAATATAAGTAAGGGAAAAAAATTAAAACAGGTTTGCATTCAATTTGGTGTTAAAGTGCTCCCAAATTATATTTTAAACTGTCCTTTAAAATTGAGATTAATTGAGGTTTTTCCTTTTTTTTATTAATTTAGGATGTGAAAGCTATTGTAACCCACTCCATTCACAGTGCAATTCATTCCATTGGAGGGATCCAAGTTCTTTTTCCTCTCTTTGCCCAGTTAGACAATCGACAGCTGCACGACAGTCAGGTGGAAACAACAGTTTGGTAAGCTACTTTCAACCAAGATTAAAACTAAATAAAGCTTAGCATATTTTTGTTTTTATTGTGGGAATGTGCTATATATTTCTGCATTTTACCCTTGTTTCCTTGAAAAAAAAATTATTTTTTGAAAAGTAGTTTACTGTACAATATGTAAATTGTATTAATCTGATGAGATTCTAGGTGGAACTGGCATAAAATTGATATGAGTAAATAATGAATTCAAATCACTCTAGAGTCTCTAAGGGTACTTGGGTAGTTTGATGACAGTTCTTCCAACTTCTGAAAGATACCAATGTGCTTTTACTTGATGGTGCGGTGTCAAGCTTCTCAAAGTCTGTGTCATTTGAACCCATATTTCATAACATTCAATATTAATTCATTCATGATCAGAAAGTCATAGAGCTATGATCAGTTATCAGTCAAAATGTTAAAATTGTGGCAGTGACTGGAAACACACTAAGAGAGTTTTAAGCCAGGACCCATGAAGTCTCTGCTCTAATACTATGGAAGACATCCCTAAGTTGAAGAGCTTGCACAGCTGTTAGATGAATGCTTCCATGTATATCTTGAAAAGGACTACTTAAGAGTCTGTCAGTACTCATGCTGACTTAGAATCATGGAATCCTTTAGGATGGAAAAGGCCTTTAAAATATTGAGTCCAACCATTAACTGAGCACTGTCAAGTCCACCACTAAACCAAGTTACTAGATGCCACATCTGCACGTATTTTAATTACCTCTGAGGATGGTGACTCCTTGCTCAAAGCTAGCTCAGCTATAATTATTTTTGGAAAGATCTCCTGCCACTTGTTTGTCAGAGCAGGCTCCTGTCCTAGTGTCAACATAGGATATTTAAACTTCTCAATAAAAATGTGTGGCCTAAATCTTTGGAGGTAACAAAACTGAAAAGGTAGTGCTGAAGAACTGGTATAGTGTTTCCTTGTAGGATGATCTGTAACCAAAGCCTGATAGACAGCAGTGTTTAGGGGCCACATAAGCTGACTTTTGTATTTGAATAAATTGTTAAAATAGATGCATAATGCAGAACACATGGCTTATTTTCCTACTTAGAATATTATTCTAGTAATTATTCTGGATATTTCCTATTGCATTAGATAGTTCATTAATAAATCAGTTAACTTAAAAAATAACAAATACAAAAATTGCTAAAAAATTTGAAAAATTTAATCAGAAGTGATACATTGGCTTAATTTCTCATGAAAGATCACTTGTCTCAATTTAAGAAATTTATCAATCTGGTGATGTTTTGTCAGTCATCTGTTTTCCCCTCTGGTAACTCAAGTACATGTAGCTAAGATGACTGCTGGTTTTTATTTGTTTCTGTAGTGTGAAAAGTTGATGTATTTCATGAGAACATTTAAGTACAATGTTAGAAGTAATACCACAGTCTTAAAAATTGTGAATTCTACTTCCAAGCGGTACAGTGGTGCAAATTATTTCATTCAACATTAAAGACAGAAAAGCTGGTTGTGTAGTGGCTCCTGTGGGGTATTTACTTTTTCAGAGTCTGTTTTGCAGGGTGTACCTTGCATGTATGCAAGTATGGTGAAGTAAGGGAAACAGAAAAAGAATGCTTGGTTTGAAATGAACTCAGAAAAGAAATCCCCGTATATTTTATGTACTGGCAAAGCAGTAGGCAAAAATGTTTTATTCTAATTTAAGGAAGATTATTGTGTGTATGTGTCCCTACATAGGAATAAAATACATGTTAAATTCATTAGTAATCTGAATCTGTAATAGAACACTAAGTAGAAACAAGATCTTCTTAAAAATTGAGAGCTAATGTAATATAAGTTTTAGAAGTTGAGATAAAGACTAATTCTTCCGAAGTGTGTGGTCTTCCCAGTGAGTGAGAACATTCATAATCAATTTAAAATGTACAGAACATTTCTGGAGTTTGTTGAACTGTAAACAGAAAAAAAAATAGTTCTTGAATAAGTGAATGCACTTCTGCTATAATTAGATTATATTCTAAACAGAGATCTGTAATTCATTATGTGATTGTATGAATGCATAATACAAAAAGATGTGATCCTAACTCAAGAACATATTCAAAAAATTTTTAAGCAAATGGATGCTTGATGAGATGTAACTTAAATGTTGAATTACCACAGTTTTGGTGTATGTGCATTATTTTATCATATTTTATTTAATGGGATATTGTTATTGAGAACAATAATACTTTAAGTGAACAATGAAGTAGGCAAATAAAAGAACAAAAGATGCTTCATGAGAGTATACTGTTATGTTTGTAAAGGCTTGTGTGGCTGTAAAATTTAATTTTTTCTGGTGGCCAACTGGAGGAATGCAGAAGTTGTACCTCAGATAGTTGTGCTGCCTTCTGTCCTACTTTTTCCTGGGAGGTGAGGATAAATGCTTTGATATCTCGGTGTGTCCTAGGTTTCCAGACTACTTTTCTGAATCTTCCTCACCCTCTCTCCTGGAAATACCAAAATCTGTTTAATAACTTCAGCGTTCTCAGTTATTTGTTTTGTTGTTTGGTGGGGTTTTTTTTAACATTGGAAGAGGTTTGTTAATATGACTGTGAGGGAACACTTTGCTTTTCGATCATCTTGATCCATTTACAATTGCAATTTTTCTATATTAATAGATTCATTGTAAATTAAATTTTAAATTATAAAGCAGGGCAATATGAATATATCAAGTTTGTGTTTTAATGGTATTTTTAATAAATGTTCTTTATTCCTGTTATATGTATACCCTTGTGTGCCTTATCTACATCTTCCATGAGACTAAGTATTGAAATTAACCTACAATTCTGCTTCTGAAACACTAAATAGATTCTTATGCTCTCATACACTGAAATTAAAAAAATGGAAACTGTTCATATCTTAAGTATTTTTTTCTCAGGTGAAATAATGCACCTGCTGTTCAGGAGAGTGGTGCTTAACTACATTGCCAAGACTGCTACTTTTCAGCTTGCTTTTCATTACTCTGGTTAGATAAAAAAATTAACAGTTTAGGTCAATAAGGTGTTTTATGTAATGAAAAGAAACATAGAGTGCTTGTGGTGCACTGAACATGACTGGATGCTAGGTGCCCACCAAAGCCACTACATCACTTCCCTCAGCTGGCCAGGGGAGAGAAAATATATCAAAAGGCTCTTGGGTCAAGATAAGGGCAGGGAGAGATCATTCCCCAGTTACTATCACGGGCAAAACAGACTCGACTTGAGGAAATTAGTTTAATTTTTTACCAAACAAATCAGAGTAGGATAATGAGAAATAAAACCAAATCTGAAAGACATCTTCTTTCCACCCCTCCCCTGTTCCTGGACTTAACTTCACTCCTGATTTCTCCGTCTCCTTTCCTCAATGGCACAGGGGAACAGGGAATGGGTGTTCCAGTCAGTTCATCACACATTATCGAAGTGCGGCTTCTTCCTCCTCAGCGAGAGAACTTCTCACACTCTTCCCCTGCTTCAGCATGGGGGTCCCTCCTGCAGGAGACAGTCCTTCATGAACTTCTCCAATGTGGGTTGCACAAGGCTGCAGTCCTTCAGGAGCAGACTGCTCTAGCATGGTCCCCACAGGGTCACAAGTCCTGTCAGCAAACCAGCTCCCACATGGGCTTATCCCTCCATGGGCCCACATGTCCTACCAGAAGGCTGCTCTGGTGTGGGCTTCCCACGGGGTCAAAGCCTCCTTCAGGCATCTACTTGCTCTGGTGTGGGGCTCCTCCAGGGGCTGGATATTTGCTTCACCATGGACCTCCAGCCTCACCATGTCCTTCACCAAGGGCTGCAGGGGCATCTCTGCTCCTGTGCCTGGAGCACCTCCTGCTCCTCCTTCTTCACTGACCTTGGTGTCTGCAGGGCTGTTCCTCTCACATATTCTCACTCCTCTCTCTGGTTGCAGTTGTTGGGTGGTTTTTACCCCTGCTCCTTTATGCCAGAGATGCTGCCTCTCTTGCTGATGGGCTTGGCCTTGGCAAGCAACAGGTGTGTGTTGGACTCAGCTGGCATTGTCTCTGTTGGACATGGACATTCTGGCAGCTTCCTAATGAAACCAACCCTGCAGCCCACCTGCTACCAAAACCTTGCTGTGCCAACCCAATACAGTGTTTTTTTCTGTTATGAAGCCGCTGTTGTTACATTTGGTTAAATTATATGGTAATATGATAGGAATTTACTTTGTTCACTTGTGGTCTCTTGTATACAGTTATGAACTAATTTGAGTCTGCTGAGCATTGACATACAGACTGACTCTGACAGGGTACTGGGTGTGCAGTCTTTGGCACTGACCCAATTTCATCCCAGAATAAATAACAAGTGTTAATTCAGATGAGATTGTTGCTTCGGACTGTACCATACTGGGAAAACATTTGAAAATAGAGGGAACTGTAGCAGTTTCATTAAATAGGTGAAGTCATTCCAAGAATTGTTTTACATGCTTTTTCTAGAAGTTCCTAACTGGATTCACTAGATTGCATACACGATACAATAAAATTTAAAAATACATCTACTGTTTATCATACTAAATAAATACAGTGCCTTAAATCCTTAAAGGTAATATGTATACCCACCTAGAATTTGTAGCAAAGTAAATGTAAGCAACTTTTCAGACAGTTTTATTGCTGACTCTATGTTCACCATTTAATATAGATAGCCTTCTTACAGAGTGTATTGCCCACCTATTCTAAGTCAGTGATATGGAGACATTTTTGAAGGAGGCAACAACTCCTGTTCTCTATAAAGTTTATAAAGGTTCCTTTCCCAATGTTAAAATGTAAATGTTTAATGTGTTTTACTTTGATCAATTAATATCTCATTAAATTTTTCTTTTGTCTTTTTACTATTTTTTATATTCAGATGAAGAGGTTTTGGGTTCCTGTCTAGTAGTGTTGCTGCATCTACTTTTTAAGATTAATAGTGTGATAAAAAATAGGCAGTTTTCCTATCAATTTCTGCAGATATGAAACAGCACAGCTTGACAGGAATTAGGATTTGATGTATTGATTTTT